TACCTCTTAAATAGAGGTTGAGCTCTTCTGCATGTAATACACTTGGCACTCAACTTTGCAAGACCTTTTAAATCCTTTCTGAGTTAAGTGGATATGGAAAGATTTTTTATCAAAAGCTAAAACCTAACACCCGCTAGGGATTAAGCTCGGCTAAACAAGTTAATGGTGTTTTTGGGAAGGTAAACCTTGCGCATGCAAGGAAAAAAACAGGGATTAATGTAAAGGTAGTCCCCTTTAAAACTCGAGATAATCAAAGGGCTGCTCAAGACGGGATATTAATGCAATCTTTTCATATTCCGAGGAAAGGTAGAGTAGCTTTTGGAAGAACACACGCTAGATCCTTTAATACAATCTTTACCCTAGAAAAGGTACCAATCCGATGAAGAGAAGCGAAGAACACACCTAGAACATAGGAGCAAGTAGCACCCTAGCTATTTGCATGTAACACTAACCTCCCTTTTTAGGATTTTGACTGCTCACTTAGTGAGAGAAGCTCTCAGATTTTAGAGGGAGAAAAAAAATATTTTGCTGGAAATTTAATAAGAGTGAGTATTAATGTCTTTTGGTGTTTGTGGGTTGTAGGAAACTTCCAAGTGAGAGTATTTTGGTAAGTCGTGGCGATTTTAAGATCGTATTTTGGTAAGTACGCGTACTCGATATTTATTAAAGCGTGTAGAAGCATGCTAGAATTTATTTTAATTAGTTCCAAGTTATTATCATGCTAGGAATTGGTTGGAATTGTTGGATGGAATTGGTTTTATGGAATTGGATTGGATTGGATAATTGGTTTATGAAGCATGATTGATTGAAATGAATTATTGATTGAAATTAATGATGTTGACATGTTGTATATGGACCACACTTTTATTATTGGCATGATTAAGGACATGTTTAACTAAACTAAATGTTTAATTTGGTTTGAGATATTAAAAAGGAATTTTATTATGGTTCATATAATTTTTATTGATGCTATAAGCTTGGAAATTGAGCTATTAAGTGTCTTAGTACACAGGGATAAAATATATTGTGGTGACTAAGTGCACTTAAGGTGTTTCTACACCGAGGGATAGGATTTGCAGCGCTTTATATGCTTAAGGTGTTTTCCACATGCACCAAGGTAGTTTTAAAAAGGGTTCAACATTAAAGTAATGTGATCACTAATTATTCAAGAATTGAAATGGAATGTTTGATTACTTGAATGATTCATGTTGGTTGATTGTGCTGTGGATTGACAGTCATCACCAAGTCTAAAATATGTAAACAACGTAACGTGAAACAGATTACGCACCAAAACTCTTGGAACATATATAACTCGTGTATGGACATATGGGGAAAGTTATTTGGTTTTATATTTAACCATATCTTCTATTGGGAGCACAGGACGCTGTATTTTCCTTTTTATTATTATTATGCGCAGGATGTCCGTCATTCACAAGTGACATATATGCCTACTCGATTAGCTCCCGGAGTAGTTTACCTCAATTCTTGGGGCAAGGATTTGGTTGAAAACCCGTTCAACGAGTAATCAAATGAACAAGCAATTAAATTGTCTATTGTATGAGTTGTTTGTTGTGTGCTAAACAGGTGTAAGAAGTTATGTTGAGTGATCCTAGGTTGAAAGCATGTAGTGTGTTTCATTTACGCTTACGTACTCAGCATTGCTTATTGTGTGTTTGTGTGTTTGTTGGCCTTGTCTTTATCTTGGCCCTACGACGACCCATTTCTTATGGTGAGTAGCGGGGACAAAGTAAAGAAAAGCTTTTCAGGCGATGCAGCATATTCATGTTGGGACATGAGTGAAGAGTGAATCTTGCATTGTTTAGTTCTTATAAGGATAGAATTGTTTAATTAATAACATAATACTAAAACAGACACTAGAAATGACACGTGTCACTTCATGGTGTTGTTTTTTCCCTCCAAATCTCCCCCTCCCTTTTTAGCAAAAATCTTTTATTTTTGGAATATTTGTATAGTACAACTATAACCATATGTTATTCATAATCTTATATATTATCTTTACAATAATTGTGTTCTTTTTTATTTCATATTTTTATTTACTTAAAATAGTTACACAAGATTTGAGACCCTTTTAATTAAGGGAGAATAAGCTATAATTTAGAAGTTACCATTATATAGTTGTACAATAGTGGGGTCTATGGGATAAAAAATATTTCTATTCATGGTGTTGATTTGAAATCTTTTGAAATAATAATAATTGAGTTAGTTTTTTGTTAAATATTTCTCCAATAATTTAACTAACTTCTAAATTATTATTTTTTTCCTTTAAAAAATCTATTAACTATTACTAAAACAGATCATTCTTACATCGATTGTTTCGGACAAATGTAAGCTATCATTAAAAAAAAAAATCCCACCAATATAATATATGATGTCAGCTTATTTAGCTTATTTTTTGGAAGTACATTGTATATATAGTATTTTTTTTTTTACTAAACCCCGTAAAAAAAAAAAAAAAAAAAAAAAAACATATGACAACTACACTGTATAGTTTTATTGGGAATAACATGCATCATTAATGTGATTTTTACCTTATTATTTCATCTTTCTTATATTCATTGCATTTGTTTATTCCACATGAGTTGCCTCATTTTTATATTATATCACAAATTAATTATGGGAAAAAAATTATTACTACCATGTATCGCACGGGCATTAATCTAGTTATTATTTATTTGCTTGATTGGACTAACGCATTGTTTTAAATATTGGTTTGGGTTTTTAAAAGGCCTACAATGATTCCAAGTTGTAGGTTGACTTAGTTTGACTTTGATTTGAATTTACTTTCATTTGGTTTGACTATTGAAGTTAGTTTTATTTTGATTGGTTTTGAAAAGAGTCTTCCGCTGTGTGTCTTTGATAAATGCCTTAACCGTTATCATGGTGACGGTAACATCTTAGATTTTCCTGATTCGTATTTGAAAAAGGACAAAGCAGGTATTTTAAAGGAAAAGAATTTCTAGGGTGTTACAAATGATTATTACATAAATTTTGTGCAAATATTGGTGATAAATCGAGAAACACTACAAGAATTGAGCCAAATACCGATGGTCAAAATTCATCAATAAATATATCAAAAACCATCGGTATCACAATTTACTGATGGCTGCTATCGGTATTTGGCCAACAGTGATTAATTCGTCGGTAAACGTTATACAGACGGATTTACCGATGGCCATAAACCCCCTCGATAAAAGAATTATTGCCGATGGTTTAGGCCATTGGTATACATACTAATGGCCATTGGTAAACTTTTTTTTTTTTAAACAAAAGCACCCCCTTACCATGCCACTGTCCCCTTCCTATCACCACCCTAAACCACCACCGCCATCCAAAAAGAAAATAAAAATCCCCTTACTCAGCCACAGCCCCCCACACCACTAACACCACCACTACCTACATCACTCACACCACGCCACCCACACCACTAATTCACCCACTAACCCAACCCACCCATTAACCGACCACTAACCCACCCATATACCTACTGCCACCCACACCACTAACCACCACCAAAATGAACCACAGTACTAACACACCAAAATTAACCATTAACCCACACCACCAAAATTAACCACTAACCCACCGCCACCCACACCACTAACCACCACCTAAATTATCATTAACCAAAAAAAAAAAAAAAAAAAGAAAAAAAAGAAACACAAAGAAACAAAAATTAACCAAAACATAAAAAAAACTCAACCAAAATAAACATACCTTTCGGATTATTTCTTCAACAATCTGGAGTTTTCATGGTCTAATTTGACCAAGGATATCGTAACACCGTCGGGCGCCGCCTTGCACTGGTCCCAATGACCGTTATTCTCGTATGAGAGAAAGAGAAGAGGGGGAGAGAAAGAAAGGATAGAGGAAAGCCCGGAGGAGAAGGAGGAGAGAGAGAGGAGGCGTGAGAGAAGAGAGAGAGAGAGAAAGAAAGAATAAAGAGAATAAGGGGGCGGCTAGGGTTTGTGGATATTTCCCTATTTTAATATTTTTGTAAAATATTTACTGATAGCCATCGGTAAAAGCCATTGGTATTTAATATTTACCGTATTTTTTTACAAAAAATTTTACCGATGAACGAAAGGAAAAAATATACTGACAACCTAACCATTGGCATTTTTAAAAATATCGATGGCTTTACAAAACCATCAGTAAATTATATTTTTACCGATGGATTTTAGTGGCCTTCGGTATTTCCCATCAGTAAATGCGTGTATTCTTGTCGTGGAAGAACTCTAGAAGAGTAACTATTGCGTATTTTTGACGGATTTTTATAGATTGAAGGATTGTAGTGATTTTAATGGTAGAATATTAAAGGATAGTCTTAGAAGGCAACGACTTCTAAGTTTGATCTTAGGAGCAGCAATCCCAAAACCCTAGTTAACAACACCTTAACAAAATTCTCTTAAGCAAAAGCTCATAAATTTTAACTTAAATTTATAAAAAAATCCTGTACATCAAAATAATTGACAATTTGACATACGAGTAATAAATATAGGAAAAATAGTTTTTTACTGCTTGTTCGACAAGCAAACTAAATTAAAAGCCCTAATAATTAATTAATGAACCAAGATATAGTCTAATACTAACTAATTAGCATAACTTTGGAAGCCCAAGGCCCTATAACTATTACTAAGACAATAATAAAAACATTATTAAAAACTTACTTATTGTAAAACTCCCACTTTAAGAGTAAGGTAAAACCAAGGGAATACCTAAATAAAACTATAAAGGTTGTTGTGAGAGAGGGTTATTTGATTCACATCAATAACATCTAACTAGTTTTTCATTTTGGCAAAAGGAAAAAAAAAATTTGTTTTTTTAGTAAAATAAACCATCCACTTATCAGACACTTATATTAAGCCACATTAGAAACACAATGAAAAAGTATAATATTTTAACACCCAAAAAAAAAAAAAAAAAACCCTATACGAAGTAGTATTTACCAGACAATCTCTTTGGCTTTTGAATTTCGCAATTAATAGGCAAGATAAGATTGTTTGCAAGGCGAAAGGCAGATATGTCACATACGATTCCCACCATATCCATATCTCTGAGTAACAAGTACTGTATCCTTTTTTTTTTTTTTTAAGATTGATGGACTGATGGTCCTTCAAATTATAACTTGAAACACTTTCTGCAACTTAACATAAAATGGCAGCCAAAATTGCTTTGTCTTCCTCTTATATCACTACCAAAATTCGTCTCTTACCGAAATTACCCTCAACTTCAGCTCCCCTTTTTCATTATCTACCAAGAACTAGCAGCAATTTACATTTCAGAATTAATGCAAAATTAGGTACTTTTTCTCATGTTTAATTTTCCCACTTTACAAATAATACATCTGTTTTAGTTTAACACAATCTAAGAAATGATAAATTTGTGTTGTTAGGTGGAGATGATGCAGAAGCAGAACCAAAGAAGAGTGGGAAGAGGAAATTTATCACCAAAGAGCAAGAACCAGAACAGTGAGTCTCTTACCCAATTACAATTATTTACTCCTTCCGTCCAGAATTAATCGTCATTTATTTACATGTTTCAATTTTTGGAAAAAAAGATGTTATGTTTGTTAAAAGAGTACACAGTATGATTAATAAATAGTGATCGTCTTAAACATTACTCGTATGTCATTACTTAAAGAATACTGAGTATTACATTTGTACTCTGTAAATCATTAATTTAGCTCGTATGAAAGCAGATGTAAGCCTTTAATCAATTGATAAACTACAATAGCATTGATATGGATAATTATGGCCTGGATCTATTTGTATTGGTGTAATGCAATTATTCACAACTTCTTTACATTGTTTTGCTAAAGATATTAAGTAGTTTGCTTTGTGATATTAGATTTTAACTTTCAAATAATCATGAATAACATGCAATTTCAGTTCCTTAAAGTAACATATGTAAGCAAAGAAGACTCATATGCTACAAAGTTTTTGATTATTAAGCTATAAATCTAAGATTAAAACTGAATAAGGGAACTAGACCTATGTAGTTAAGATAGAAAATACACTATACAAACTATTGATCAATTATTAATGGTCCATCTATTCAATCCAAATAATAATAAAAGTACTCCCTCCTTCCTATAATGTTATTTCCTTTTCTATTATCACGGTCTTTGAGATGAACCTGACAATATTCCACATGACTATATTTTTTGTATAATCAATGAGCATTATTGGACAAGATTTTCAAAGTTTAACCATAAAAATAAAAATGGGAAAAACATTTTGGGACAGAGGGAGTATATGCTCAATACTCATCAAACCATGAATGAAACGCAGCCAGCGTGGTGAGAAGATATAATTAAGGGTTGCGTGAATGAATTAAACTTGTTGGACAATGGTCCGTGAGATATCATATATGACATACAAAGTATGCACCAATGCACTTGGACATTTGAGCAAGATTGAAAACCTTCTATACATACATGAGGTATGTACCAATGCACTTGGGCATGTGATGAGCCAGATTGAAAACCTTCTAAATCCATTTAACATTGGCACAATACAAATGTATATGAATTTCATAGCTAGTATCCTTGACATATATACCATCATATTACGATCAAGCTAACAAAAATACATGTGTTAACAACAAATGTAGGTATTGGCAAACGGCAGGAGAAAGAGAAGGCGAAAATCCAATGGCATCTCCTCTTCCTTATTTTTTCATATTCGGCATGTCCACACCTTTTATCATTCTAGCCATTGCCTTTGCTAATGGATGGATAAAAGCTCCCATTAGATAAAAATAAATACTGTATCATATTGTTCAAAACTGTAGTATACCAGGCTGTTTAACTAGCACTGAGAGCTTCTATATACAGATACAATGACATACTGTTGGATGTTATACTTACACACCCCTTTTGTATTGTGTATATGCCAAAATCCGAGCTTTGCTTTTCATCTCTAACGCTTTAGACTCGCTAATATATGGATTATTCCAAATTGCTAGCGTGCTGTAATGCTGTATAATCTGTAATATGTGTGTCTCGAATGCTCCACTTTGATGCGTGTTCAGTTTTATAGTGTTAGAGCTTGAAGTTTATGGAGCCACATTAGCCATACAGGTGTGAAATTTGGGTTTTTCCGTTTGAGAATGTTGATGTAGTCTGCCCAAAGAGTATGCACCGATGCACTGAGTCAAATACTGGATGCAACAATGGGAGCTGCCTTTAATAAACTTGTTACACACATATAGTTATTGGAACAATATATACAAGACTTTTCCTATGTCTTTATGTCAAAATCCGAGTTTTCCATACACAATGATTCTACCCTTAATTCTTTTTATAAAGTCCACAAAAACCTTGGCTACATGGAATATATGTTTTATCCACTTAATTCATGTGATGTTGACTATATGGCTATATCGAAGTTGGTTGGATCCACCGGTGACCGGAATTCCAACGGTGGTGGGTGGTGGTGTAGGAGGAGAAGGTTCTGACATGGTGGTTATTCATGTGATGTTGACTATATTTCTATGTGAGTCATTTTACTTAAAAAGTACTTTGTATCTTTTATCAATATAGTCTTACTTTTTACTTATTTATCCACCTTACTGATGCAAGTCTAAGCATGGAGAACTTCGAAGATTTGCTTATCATGCATCAAGATAGCTTGTCTCTAAACATTGATTCAAGTCAAGCATTGCATGGACACTTTCTTGGATATCAAAGCAAAGCTACGGTTTGCTTGGTGGCGTTTCTTGGAGTCTAAGCTAGTTTCTTTAATTTTCTTACTTAGATTTTGCTTACAAGTTTTTACCTTTCACTTGAAAGGGTTTTTCTTGGTTCAAGCATTAGGATCTTTAATCTTTTTATTAGTTTCTTTAATTAGTTAGTGTTAACTGATTTTAGGCGTGTGGTCTTGCTTGGTGAGCAAGCTTGTTCAGGTTGTTGAAATCTTATCCAAGGGTTTGTTAGAGTTCTAGTTGGGTTAGGTAACTAATCAAATTCTATCTTATGTGATTAGTTACCAAAACCGTGTGCTTGCTTGCAACTCCAAGTCGGTTTAGTTGTCTAGTTTGATTAGAATTGAATTAGGGATTTGTCCTAATCTTCCTAGGAGAGTCTAGCTTATAAATAGGCTGGGTAAACACACGAAATAATCAGATTATTATGCATTGTTTTGAGTTTAAACACTTAAGTTTTAATTGATGGAGATCAATTGCTATTTTGCTTGTTTTAGTTAAAACATTCGTTCAGGTTGATTAATTAAGTGGATCTTAGTTAATTAATCTTGTTTCTTGTTTAATTCTTGGTGGATTTCTTGTATAGAATTAGGCTTGATTCAACTATCTTTGTGTGTTTTAATTTTCGAATTAAAATTCACATCACTTACTGAATAACTTAATATACTTGAGCGAGTATAGAGGGGATGCATTTACATTATTCAATCTGTATCAAAAGATATCATTTCCATGAAATTACAACCTTAGTTTAAACTTGCTAAGTTTTCCAAATTAATATCTTAATCAATTTGTACCAACCGGCCACTTTGCTCGAATACGACAAAATCCATGAAATATGGATTAAATTGCATTTCTTACGATTAACATTTTTAAATTGTTGTTTTGAACGGTAACAGTAGTACAAGAAAATGCGAAATCGTAAAAGTAACCTCGAAAACTATCCATTTAAAAAAAAAAACAAAATTACTAAAAAGTATAGTGATTAGTGAAGCAGTCCAACCTTCAAAAGCAGCATCAGATCGTCGCAACAGACAAAATATGGAGTGCCAATTACCAAACTTTGAGGGCAGGTACAAAGTACGTACAATTTCATCCTCATGCTCCCTCCACTTTTAAATTCTTTCAAAATTAAGTTTTTATACTTAAAAAAAATACCTATTTAACAATATTTTGCATGATACAAAGTACTTCGTAGTATATATTTGAGAATAAATGAGTAAAAGTTAGGCCCAAAGTTAATATAATAGTAGTGTACAAAGTTAAATTGTATCAAATATAATAGAAGGTTTAATATTTATTATGTATTTCTAGTTAATGAGGGTAAATATAAATGCAAATAATGAGTAGTAGCATAAATTTACACCTCACTAACTATACTTTATAAAATTACTTCATATAAAGAGTAGCTACATTGTAAAACGCTCTGTTTTACTTGCAACATAGTTTCAGAGTACACAATTTTAGGATGTGATTTAAAGAAGGTAAATGAACAATTTTATTAAAATAATTTTAACTCTATGATAAGAAAGCTATATGTATTAATAATTTTGATTTGTTCGTCTGTTTACATTATTAAATCTCTTCCTTAAAATGTGTGTTATTAAACTATGCTGAAACAAAACAAGTATTACGAAACATAAATATGAAAATGAGGAGTATATTTAAAAAGGCAAGATAATCGATTTAAAAAATGGAAGACTTCCACTCTTCATCAAAAGTCACAAGTCCTAATAGGCAACAAATTACAATGAAACATTCATCAAAAAAGAGGCATGGTCCCCAACCTAGTAAATGAATAGGAAATCACACCCTAAGACATTCCTTAGCCTAATTACTCTCCCCAAAAACATTAGCATAATATTAATAATGGTCACACGTGATCTAATTACATCTACCAAAGTTAGCAACTTTCAACGAAAAATTTCCAAACTTAAAAGGCTAAAACCCTTTTGTTTATTTGCACAAGCTACGTTTTGTAGCTAGAACTCAGGGCAAACACTAAAGACGTCTCTAAATTGCTGGATTTCCATGTGGCATTGCTTCATTGTTACAGCTAGCGTTCGTATCTAGTTGACATTCGACAAGTGGCTGCATCTCTTTCGGCATGTACCTTAGCTACCATTTGCTCCTTGAAGACAGTCGACAAGTGGCTGTATTTGTCTTGCCATAGTTTTCATCAATGTTAGCTATGGGATCCTCACTTGTTTCTTGTAGGAAGACCTTCACTACTGTACTTGATTTGGTATGAAACCTAGCAACCTGCAGTTCTTTTTAAAAATCCATTTGGTAATAATCGACGTTAATAAGGTTGGCAATAAGTTGTGAGGCTTAAACCAGGTTAAGCCTCGGCCTCATACTGTGCCATCGTGTTGCTAGGGCTACTTGGTACAACCAAGCCGCAGTAGCTAGCTTAGTTAATACGAAGTATCACGTAGGAATGATATATATGACAAACTGGCCTTGAACTATTTCACATTCATAATTAATAGCTTGTTTGTTAATGAACAATTCTATTGGCCTTTTCTTGGCTTTTGATTGTTGACATCTTAGGTGTTCAAAATGCTAAACATGTGTAATATAGTATATAACTTTGAAGTTATTAAGTAATATAGTAAGCCAATTTTGTTCATGATTTAAAATGTAATTTTGGAAGGAACGTCTGTTGTAACATAAGAAACTAGCATGAGTTGTGCTGATTATATGCCTTTACATTAGCATGAGTTGTGCTGAGTTGTAATTTAAATTAGCACTAAGTTTTTCATATAGCATATACAAGTATATGATGAATGTCTATGTCTTAACAATAGCTTGAAGATGAAGAGCAATTAAAGTCTTCTAAATAATTTTTGATGTTTGACAGTAACTTACTTAATTCAGGAATGATCCATAGTGTTTTAGATCTAGCTGGCATAATTTTGGCAAGTTGCAAAATCAAAAGTGATCATGCTTTCCTCATTATGTGCAATACATACCCTTTTTAGAAAAAAGGGTTTGGGGTTGTATCCAAAACTAATTTATGAATTTACCAAGCAAAACCACCAACTTGCTCTAATTAATACAAAGTATGAACATCGTTAAAATGCACTTTGCAATAAGAATAAACAATTCAAGCTCTTATTAGTTATTGAGCTTAAAAGCAAGCACATCAAAGGATTATGAGAAATATTTTAAGGTTGTTTTTAATTTGGTTTAGAGAAATCCATTTTGAAATGAATTTTATTTTATGAAAAGAAACTTGAGGGGGGGGGGCATTGAGTCGTGAATATGATAAACGAGTGTGAGGCACACCCGCTACAAATGTTGTCCACTTTATAAGTCCAAAGAGGTTTAACCTCAAAAGCATATTACAATGAGGAGAGTAGCAATTTAGCCAAGTGGACACAATTTTCTTTTTTTCGTTAATGTGAGATACACATTTCAATATTCACTTTTACATTTACAATTTTTTAACTAGCCTTATGCCCACTGCAATGCACAGGTTGTTTATAGGTATACAATACAAAGTATAATTTATTTTATTTTTTTTATAATATGGTTTTATTGGAAAATGAATAGTTTTTAAAGGAGAAGAAGGGGTGAAAATTAAATGTGATTGTAGAAGATATTAAGTTGGGGGAAAGTGAACCAAACAACATTCATACCTTGTATTGAATTAAAGCTTTTTTTTTTTTTAATATGAGAAAGGGGATTTTAAAAAGAAAAAGGTTAAATGAAGTGAAATGTAGTATCGGTGAAAATGAAGTTTACATGTGACATGATGGGCATGATGGTTTGTGTTTTTAAATACTAAGTATAAATGTGAGACGATACTTTCACTCACATGTGAGTTTGTTTATGGGCTCATCGCTCACTCTCACAAGTGAGTTGGCCATAATACTGGTCAAAATCACAACTCAACCCAACATCAGATCTAATACCACGATAGATGATCAGCTCAACCAAAAGCTTAAGGGTGCCCATATGTTGACAACACTGAACCACACTCCCTCGGTAGCTTTATTTTAGAAAAAATAGTAATTCACTATGAACATCCAAATAATAGGTCGTTTGATGGCCTAACCGGGTTCTGAATGGGCTGAAACTTTGGGTTTATCTTATTCGAAAAATAAACACTTTTTTTTTTTAATGTATCTATAACACTTTGGTCTTTGTCTTATGCTATAATTTAGGAAATATAAGCTATAATTTAGGGAAAATATAGTCATGTGAATTTTTGTTAATTAAATTTATCTTAATTCATGATACTCTCATAATGTCATATCCTAGAATTTTTATATATTGGTAATTTAAAATATTAGTGATTGAAATAATGTATACATTGACAAGCTTAATTTGAGAAGATTGCAAGGGAAAAAAAAAGTATATAAATAGAGGATTAAGTTTTCACCTAATCTCTCAAAAATCTTAATGGTGTATTATGTATAATCCCTCCAAGTTACTTTTACTAAACACAAATTATTTTTAATAAATATTTTTTTTTAAAGGTAACGAGAACAGGGTCTAAATGTGACTGAAATTCAAGTAGCTCCTTAACTTAATTAGGCATTAGAACAACATATTTCACGATAATATTTTAATTTTTTAAAAATATGTTACTATAGCTATGGTAAAAGTTAGTATATGTAGTGAAAAAAAGTCAAACATGTCAATTATTTTAGGATAGATGGAGTATTTTCTTTTGGTGTAATAAGTGCATAACTTTTGTCGTTTTTAAGGTTTTACGTGTGAAATTACTATCTTATCCTCAAAATAAGTTGTGACCAACTTTCCGCTTTTTTCTTACATTAAATATCTAAAGTTTATCATATGCGGAAATACAGTGCTTTTTCTGTGTGACTGACCACACCGTGTGGGCGGGGTCACATATTCAGAGTTACTATTTAGAGGCTACTCAGTCAGTCAAGGGTTATTTATTCTAGGGTTACTCAGGTGGTTAGCGCGTTTTCGCCAGGGTTACTTATTTAGGGGTTAATTAGTAAGTCAAGGGTTACTTATTCTGGAGTTACTCAGTCGGTTAGCGTGTTTACTATGTGAGAGTAATCCCTGACCAATCTAGTAACCCTTGAATGAGTAACCCCTGACCGAGTAACCCTGACGGACCGAGTAATCCATGAATAAGTAACCCCGACCACACAGTGTGGCCAGCCACGTAAAAAAATTTATGGCGGAAATATGTAAATCACCCCTCTCTCAGACTTATTGGCTATGTCATTTCTCTGCAATGCAAATTGAAAAACAAAGGAAGTAAAAGATTGTGATGTATGACTTTGCGCTTTACAATTTTGGGAAGTAGTAAAAGAATTTTAATGTTGGACAAAATCTCTATAAACTTTTCTTTAATTATCTTCTATGGAGTATATAATAATACAACATATATGTACTCCATAGAAGATATACTCTTCCCTCTAAAAAACAAAAGATTTACTCCAAGAAAAATCGTAACAGTTACAAACTACACGAGCAATTTAAATAACCCCACTTTTTTATGATTAAGTATGAGACAATAGATAGCGGGGTTTAACTTTCCTGCAGACAAATTGATGGTCCAAATGCTAAAGCATGCTTAAAAGCCATCATTAAAGGACTAAATATACAAGCAAGCATGGCCTAATCTTGCAAGAAATCACCCTTCCTGGTCCCTCTTGATCTTCTCTACAGATTACAGCGATCCAAATTTAGCTTAACAAGATCCATTCAGTAAACAAAGCAACACTAATCAAGCTCAAAAAATTGGTAACTTTTGTAGGAAACATTATATTACTAGCTAACAAAACTAGCCATATTTGATATTTCTAGTCCTGCTCATATTTTTACATTTGCTCATCTGGCCTCTATAGTTGAGTAACTTGAGTGTAAATGCTGAATAGATCTTCTGAGAGCTCGATTCGTGGATTCGTGCTCTTGGACTTCCAAAGAGCCAGAGAAACATTGTTAATCAAGCAAAAGAAGATCAAAGGGGGTGGTTTCGGTGTGACAGCAGAAGTTTGAAGTAGGGAAATTTCTCAGAAAAACAGAAAGTAGCTTAGTTTACATAATTAGTAATAGTACTAAACTACTAATTTTGGTGTGTCAAGAGTTGATTTAAAATGCAAGTTGGAGGGAAAAGTGCCATGTGGTAAGCTCAGAAGACTTCACATGGTTTCTCTTACTCCAAAGTTATCTCTCTATTAAATGCTACAAAAACTAGGTACCTGAAAAACCAGTTTATGGGTTTTTCAAGAGAGAATCCTCTGTTATTTACTCTGAATTTATAGCCTAGTTTATTCTTTAAGTACTTTCTGATAGTGAGTTCAAAGGGTCTCATTTTCTCTCTTCATATATGATACTGATTTTGATTTTCTCTTTTCGGATATAATGTTCGTTTTCGTGTCGAACATATTCCACTTGATATCATTGAAGAAACTATCCAACTCCCAAAGAGCTTAAACTCGAGTGTTTTTGGTAGTACTGTGTTTGTTCTTGGACTAAACATTTCGTTGTTTCGTCGTAGCCAGACATCAGTTTGTTTATCACATTTTTAGATCCAAAACACCATCAACCCAATTGAGTGTTCTTCTATTCAAAGAAGAAGAAATGGCAGCTTGTTCATGTTTAGTCAGAAATCCACTTCCTTGGCTTGCTGCCCTTGGATGTTTATTTGTCTGTTCTCAATCTCTAGGCTTCGGGTTTCTTACTATCTTCCTTACATCATCAGCTATTATTCTATGTCCTGTAATTCTTTGTCGCTTAAAGCTATACGAGCAGAAATCAACACGGAGAGAGTCATGTACGCGTTCCATTGAAGAGTTTGTTTCCGAATCAAGTCATCAACAGACAGTCAGCCCGGTGAATGAGTCTTTGGAAGAAGAAGAAGAAGCAGCTGAGAGTAAAATTCATGAAACAATACAGGAAAATGTTTCTAGATTGGAAGAAGAGGAAGTATCAAAGCACAAAATACAGCAGAATGAAAATCACAGGTCACCAGAAATACTGCTGTCTGACAGTGAAAGTGTTGATCACACAACTTCGAGTGAGGATTCAGAAAACGATTCTATGTTCAGAGAAAATCTGAGTCACAGCACAAACTATTCAGACGGGTCAATCTCAGACGAAGAGAGTCTAATAGAAATTGCGCTTCCAACAGGCCACTATGTTGACTCAAAGATATCACAAGAACCATCCTGGTATGGATTTCAGCATCAGAAATGGTCAGACTGCTCATTAAAATCCCATTTCAGACAGAAAAATTGGATGGAGATGCTAAACGAGATGAATGAAGAAAACTTCATCGAAATCGATCTCTGCATGGGATCCATCAAGTGTTCAAGGTTTGAAATTCAAGCATAATCATCAAAAATTCATACACAAAAATTTTACTCCCAATCGCGGTTGGGAATTAATTCACTAGTACTTCTTGTTCATTAGCCCTTAATTTTTTATCCGGTCACGGATTTTTCCTCCCCTTGTTGGGGGTATAGCGTATTAAGATTTCGAAGCATGCTTGTGTTACATCGTTAAACTTTAGTGCTTGTTTCGCATTCACCTCGGATGCCATTTGAAGCACAAAGTATATTTCTTTTTGCTAAATCTTACTGTGATTAAAGTAATTAAAACTCTGACAGCCATTTCTGTTTTATATTGCATACTCTAATTCTTGATCTTTGAAAAACATATTGTTATTTGATTCATATGTCAGATCTTTTGTTTGTTTTCGCCTTGATTTCGCTGACAGATTCCTGTTCAACGCTTAGTTGCGAATTCCAGTGATTAGTTTAACTTACTTCTATGAATCCACATATCACAAGTATATTCCAACAATGTTAAGGTTAGATTGTAAAAGGTCACACATATGACATATGAAAACAATGTACTGATAATAAGGCGCATTTTGTTCACTGCCTGCTCGCATTAAACTTAAGAAGATCAGGGTAATTTAGTAGCCAAACACGAAAAAAAGAAGAAATACAGGCACGGAGAAGGGTAATTAGATCTTAAATGTATATGTAATCCATTTAATTTCGAACAAGATCTTGGCCATGATGAATAGCTGGGATCATGAAATTTGTTTTGAACAATTGGATAAGACTCATAAGAGAGACATTATTGCACCAACATAGTCAATATATTTACTCAATTGTTTAATTACTTTTGGCATAGAAAGAGGCATAAACATTGTCATTAGATATATTTAGATCATTAGATGAGAGTTGGAACTAAATTAGTCACTAGTACAACTACCAGGATAGCTAAGCAGCTAAGTCAACTCCCAAATTTATGTAAAACTATATCATATTCTTAAATTAGCAAGTTGATGAAGATTATTTTTAATGAGACAAAGTTATGATGCATCCTTTGCCTAATCTACCATGTCATTGACAACACAGCTTCAGAAAAAATAAGAAGGTATAAAGTCATCAACTTATTAACAGGACTACAAGAGCAGAAACAAAGTCATGAATATGCCTAAGATCAGGTTAGTACTTCACTTGGCAGTTCATAAGCGTGTTAGGCACCTAACATGTTAGATTATTTAGACAGAATCGAGTATACATTCATGTCAGTTAGGACAAGTGTTACCAAAAAAAAAAAGCTAAGTTGGCCTAACTATCCTTGTAGGCCAAAGTATAGAATTTTAAGATAGATTAGTGAACATATTGCATAACCAGGGCCTAATTAAAGTGTACAACATTAAAATGAACTTAATTAATGTAACATATATGGTTGATAAATGAAATTCTGCATTTTCTAATAGTAGGGCTCACAAATTCATTTGCATATATAGCAATTAGGTGGAGATCTTTACATTAAATTACTATCTGCTTTCGGCTATATTAAGTCTTAAATTCTTAATTAGCTGACTAATTAGATATAAGGGCAGTTGACTGAGACTAATGATTTTCTTGCAAAAACCATGCTTTTTGTAAGCAGCCATGCTATTAGCAAAAGTTCACTTTATTTTGAGAAAGTTAAAGCATTTGTGATTTTTATAACTACAATTTTATGTAAAAGAATCAAGCAAGCTAGGTCCTGGCTGCTGATCCTTTATTCAATCAGCATCTTCATGATTGAAGAACGACATTGTTTAACAAACTCGAAAAGCAATACCATACCTACCTTCTTATCGAATTAAAGACTTACAAAAAAAAAAAACCTTCATTTTAAAAGCTATGTATACTGTATAGTACACCCCTGCATTTCCAGGGAACTTCAAAGTTTAAGAAAGAAATAAAGTTGAGTTTTGAAAAAAAGAGTTATATACTGCTTATTGTCTTCATTATCATACTCTCAAATTTACTTTTCAATATTTCTATGATCAATACAATCTTTTATGTACATGCAAGACTCTACTGTAACATGTTTGTTCGAGCAACTGCAAAACTAGTATGTATCTGGTGGTTTTTAAACAACCTACAATGCAAATACAAGTACTAATGGTACTTAATATTGTAAGGCCAACTGCTAACATCTTCAATTTCAATATCTCCACACTATAAGAGTGAGGGATAGCTCAAGTGGTTAGAGCTTCCCTCCCGGTTTCAGGAGATCCTGGGATCAATTCTCACCCTCGCCCCTTGTGACTCTCTAAACACCGACAAAATAAGGGACGGAGGGAGTACTTAGCTAGCGCAATTCAACTTTGTAACTGACTAATTGAGCTTGTCTCATGGTGGTTTTTAAACTACACGGTAACACAGCACACCTTGTACCCATCTACGCGCTAGGAGAAACAACCATCAGGATGGTCTATGTTTACTCGGCTCTTCCCAGGCTTTCTAAAAGTTAATTAGTGTGCATCTGATAACCCATTTGGTTGTTGGAATATAATTCATTTGCTGCTTGTTTGATCAGTGGTGGAGCCAGAATTTTATAATCAGTGGGATAATACGATTACAAAATAAGTGTTGACTAAGTTAGTTGATTTGTAGGATATACTGATATATGAATGGGATAGGACTATAGGAGTAGCTTTCAACTAGTGGGAGTAGATTTTGTATAGTGTTATTTTTTTCAAGGTAGATTTTGTATAGTTTACTTTTTTCTTCATATTTTTTGGACATATTATACTGTTATAGGAGTAGCTTTTGTGCAAGAAAGATTCGTAGTAACCCTTTTTTTCAAACTACTCCGTATATCAATTTGAGGAGATATGATAAATCTTTACTCCGTAATTTCTCATGGATCACCCCCCCCCCCCCCCCCCAAACAACTCTACTGTTGTAGTGATACTCATGGACCACTATTTTTTAGATATCAGCACAATTGTTAAATGGTTATGAAGTCCAACACAACATGCGTAAATTCTCTTTTCTTTACTCGTTACTTTCTGTATTTGTATCTTCTATAAAACTTTAACAAGTATTTTGAAAGAATTTAGGGGACCCCACCAAGATTGTGGATGATAACTAATTTAAATTATTATTAATAAGTTTATGGCAATTGGTACATAACATAGTTTGTCTTATTGAAGAAATCATCAACTATCTATACTACATTATATTAATTATTTACAACAATTAGACTTGTTTTATATTATTTACAATAATTAGACATTATCTAGTCACACTTTATATCAAATTATTGCAATTATATGAACCGAAGTAATACAAGAGATTATGAATCTATCCTGTTTATTGGGAAACAATTGTAACACCTAAGTCTTCCCATATGATAATACCAAATATTATAAAGATATTCACTAAATCATGTCTTACCCTAAATTATCGTAAAACAAATACTGTATTATTTACTACTCCTTATCAAAATGGAGAATCTATCACACAAAGTTTGTACATAAAAAATTTTTTTGGTAAGAACATCATTTGCTTGCTTTCCTAGTCACCAAACTAAAAAGTAAACTTACAAAATTTGTGCGTAGAGTATAGCCCCATTTACTTCAACTAAAAAAATATACAGCAAAAAATAATTTCAGGTCTTTAAAAATAACTTCAAATCAACAAAAATCAATAATGTCACAAAAAACAGATATTATAGAAAATCATTCAAAATAACTCTAATTCAGCAAAAATAATTTAATTTCAATAAAATAATTTTATTATAACAAAAATAAAATGGAGTGAACAAGACCTAAAATAAATAAATATAAATGTACGTAAATTAATCTTATTCAAATCAAGTCAAGCTAAAAGTGGCATTCTTCATAAATTCTTCATAAAATCATAACCGTGAGAAATTAATCTTATTCACATCAATCCAAAAGTGGCATCCTTCATAAAATCATAGCCGACGTTTTCGATTGAAGTCAAGTCAAATGCCGAAAGGAGACAATTTTTTAAATCAAAGTACATTTTGAAATTCTTAACAAAAAGGGTTACTTTTTCTTTCTTAAACTATGCAACAAATCCTTTGAAAATTGTAGAATTAAATGAATGCACACCTCTATGAAAAGGAGGGCAAGATGAAAATTATTTTGATGAAATAAATCATGTACCTTAATGGCAGGATTTCCAAATTCGGTGATCTGCTTTGTACTTCTGTACCATTTCTCCATAATGTTGACGAAAGTGATGAATAACATCTTTAATATTTACTGATTGATTAATTTGTTCATTGAAAAGGTTTTGATTCTGGTTGGGTTTTTGCAGCGGTGGAGCCAAAAAAATTTTTGTTAGGGAGTCAAATATTATGTATGTACTCATATTGCATACAAAAAAAAGATATATACTTCTTTATAATACTTTGTATAAAATTTAATAATATAAATAAAATAATTTCCAATTCTAATACAATATAAATTAAATGAGTGAGACCCAATTATTTATGAAAGTATTAAAAGTAAAAAATTGAGTTAAGTGAATATATTTTGGACATAGAGAGACAATTTCCCAAAGACCCCAAACCAGATACTATACTCTTACTCAAACTCAAGATAAGGATGACAAAATGAATCATGCTACCAAATTAAACCAACTCTACAACAACGTATCATGTGTAATATACTGCTACTTTTAATACATATACACAGACAACACAGTCATTGAGGAGGCCATGGCCCACGCCAGCCCCCCCGTTGGCTCTGCCAGTGGGTTTTTGGTTTTTTTAGGTTTATATATCTTCAAGCTACGAATCCTAATATTTTCGAGTTGTTTTTTAATTGAGTTATATTTTGCTAGTTCAAATTGGAAAACATCATATTATATTAGATTTTCCCATAATTACTTAGATTAGGTATTTTTGTTTGGAAATTTATAAACTTATACTTAAAGCGAATAATTAAGGACACTTGCCATTACCTTGAGAAAAAATTTCCCGCCTTTTTCTCTTTCCTTTTTTTTTTTTTTTTTTTTCTTCAAAATCTTTATGAAAACTATTTATAACCTAAAATATATTCTTTACTATTTGACAACCATATTTATTACATATACTCAATTGAAATATTTCTACATAATATCTTTTATATATTTTAAATTTTAGATTTTTTAAATGAACATATATTAAATAATTATTAAAATTTCTTCAAAAAAGAAAATAATCTGTAACTTAACTATATACAGTGAAACCAAAGATGACACATGTTTTTAATATTTTATATACGTAATATAATATTTTTCTTCCAATTTGGTCATTGATATAATATTTTCCTTCCAATTTGGTCATTATGTTTCATCCTTACATATT